TTTATAGTAATATTTTTTATATATATTATTATATATAATATTTCTTATAATATATACATTGTAATGACACATAATATATATTATTTAATATCATTCAAAAATTAATATTAAAATTATATATTATTATATATTAAATAAATTTATATTTATATATTATATTTATATTGACATTTTTTATATATTATTATAGTTAACATTTTTTTCGTAATGTCTATTTAATTTTGACTATAATTAAAATTTTATTTATTTAATAGTACATCTTTTGAACAATGTTTTCATTAAGCAAGTTAACATACGATTAAATGACTAAATGTTTCTATAATATCTTTTTTCCCATAAAAATGTCATTGCAGTTAACGCGTACTTTTAACAAAATTTTGAGGAAAACATTTACCGTAGAAAATTGTGATAATTTAACTCGTTAATGCCTAATTTATAATATAATGATTTATAATCATAATTTAGAAATGTTATAATGAAATGTAAGCAATAAATTTAAGTTCATTTATTTAAGCAATTTTGACGTTAACTTTTTAATTAAATTAAAATTTTATCAAATTTTCTGAAATTGATAGTAATTAAAGATCAGTTTGGTGGAAAAGAGATAAAATAGAAGTAGAGAGAAGAGGAAATAGAAGAGTAGTTAGGTATAACACCTCTTTATTTCTCTTCCAATAATAGTAACCATGAGTAAAACATGCATTTTATGGTAAATTTCATCTTTAGTAAAGAAAGATTTTTTTACAAATTTATTTGGAGTAAATTTTAAAATTTCATCTTCAGTAAAGAGTATTATTCGAGTACATAAATCGAGAAAATTTTATTTATAGAATTTTTTTATAAAAAATATTATAATAGTAAAAAATTTATCTATATATATTATTTATTATTTTAAAATAAAATAGTTTTATTTCTAAAATATTTATTATATATTTTCATTCAATTATTTATATTTTGCTTATTTTTATATATTTTCAACTTATAATAAAAGTAAAAATACACCACAAAGTAAAATAAAAGTATCTTAACATAGTTAGTTGAGTAGTGAATATGTATATGTACATGTAAAGTTGATTAAAAATAACAATAAAATTATAGTTTTTTTTTATTCTTATAAAAAACTGATTTTTATAAATTTTCAATGATATGTATAAATTGGCATAGGAAGTTATTCTATTTGAGGCTTTGAGGTGTGAGTATGTAGTCAGTCCCACGCGGATAAACCGAGTGGCAACATATACATAACTCATCTTCATTATCATCATCATCATCTTTGTCAACATTTTCATGCCATTCTTCTCCAAATTTCACATCCCTCTCGTTTCCTCTTCAATGCTAGCTGCTCCATCTTTCATCTCTCTGCTTTCCTCACTCACCACCACACAACAAAACCTTCAATCTCTCTGCATTTCCCACTCATATTACCCTACAAAACAAACCCTCTCAAAATCGCCTCTAGATTGAAACAAAAAAAATAAAAACACAAACTTTTTCATGTGATTCGCCTCCAAAATCCAACCTTTTTGTCCTCTTTCTACTTTCTCCTCATTGGTGCGGCTTCAACTTCAATTCCTTTTTGCCACTTCACACACAAAACCAATTTGGATCTTCCCACACCAACCAACCCCTCACTCATCTCTCAACTCCACAGTCCACACACACACACACACACACACGATTCTCTTTCCAAAAACCTTAAAAAACCGATTTTTAAGGATGCAAGACGCAACATCATTCCAAGGTTTGAAGGCAGCCCAATTTCCCGAACAAGAACAACTGAAATGCCCACGTTGTGATTCGACAAACACGAAGTTCTGCTACTACAACAACTACAACCTCTCTCAGCCACGCCACTTCTGCAAGAACTGCAGAAGGTACTGGACCAAAGGTGGCGCCTTGAGAAACATCCCCGTTGGGGGTGGAAGCAGAAAGACCACAAAACGCTCTTCAACCTCTAAACGCTCTTCTGCACTACCTTCCCCTGCAGTTTCCGACCCCGACCCGACCCGGATCCACACCGTCCCGGTTGATCAAGGGGTGCTCACCATTGGTGGTGGCAGCTTCAGTTCCCTTTTGGCATCTTCTGGCCACTTCGGAACCATCTTGGAGGGTCTCAATCCATCTGGGTCGGGTCCCAAAATGGCTGAATTTGGGGAGGGCGTGGGTTCTGACCCGGGTTTGAATTCGGGTTCGGGTACCGACCCGGGGTTGCAGGTTCAGAGTAATGCGAGTTCAGAGAGTTTTCTTGGAATGCAGAATGCTGATTCGGGCTGTTGGAATGGTTCTCATGGTTGGTCTGATCTTGCAATGTACACACCTGCCCCAAGTTTTCGATAGAATCTGAGAAAGACAAAAAATAAAAAAAAAGCTCTGTTTTGTTTTGATGATTTTTTCTGTAAATATTTATAGAAGAGAAAATCAAGAAAAAAGTAAAATAAATTGGCTTTTTTTTAAGTTAAAAAGTAACTTATGCATTTGACAACTTTAAAAAGATAGATGAAAGAATTTTTTTTATAAATGTTTAGTGCATAAGTTATTTTAATTTATAAAAAAGCTTAGTTTATTTTATTTTTTCATTATTTTTTCTTCTATAAATAAATATAGAGAAATTTATTGGAACGGAACCTTGATACAATCCAACTTCTCAATTATGGTGATTGTTCTTTTATATATATTTATATATATACACTCAAGATACTATGGTTGTGCAAAGAGTTACATAATTTGATGAAGCCTATGGATAGCATGCTATGGAGGATCCTACACCAGAGAAGCTCACTGAAGCAGTATCCTTTAGGTACAGTTTTTTTATTTATTTTTTTTTTTTGTATTTCTTTTATGTGCTTGGGATTGGTGTTTTACCAATGGTGAAAATTGGAGAATAGGAAGAAAAAAAAAAGTCATTTTTTGGGAGGGATATATGTGAGATGATGATAGTTATCACATCACTTGTTATTTGGTATGTTTTTGCATAGCTTTTGAAGCGTCCTTTGGATACATGGAAGTTTACATGACAAGTTGTTGTTTGTTGTGCATTATGTTTAGATATTTAATGGGATGTGGGGTTGATATAGGGAAATCTAAAGTACAGTGTTTGAAGTTGTATCTTGTTTGTATCTTATCAATGGAGGACCTGACAACTGACACCTTGTTTCCTTGCTCTCAAGTTCTATCTTGGTCAATCTTCTCTCATTCATTATTCTCACCCTTGTTAACCTTTTCAACATCCTTAATCTCTACCTTAAATTTCAAAAAAAAAAATTATGGCTCTAGTTTAGGTTGTTTGTGGCAAATGTGGTTGTGTTGATTCTATTTATAGACATAATTTTGGAGTGAATATATGGGGTTGGCAATATCCCCCAAAGATTATATTGCACGAATTTGTACCTTAAGGTGCTGATCCCATAACTAAACTAAAGGCAAGTTGAGGTTGAATTGATTGTATGTGTTGTGATGCAGAAGTGTTTGTTCTTTAATGGATGTGTGATCATGATCAAGTGGTCTCCACATGCCATGATGATGTGTGCTCTCTGTTACCATTTCATTTACGACGCCGCACATGTGTGGCCTTGCCAGCTCAGTTCTTTGAGAGATTCATGTACATGTTTAATATACGGAACTTGTGCAAATTATCTTAATAAATATCTATTATCAAAAATGAAATAAAAAGCTAGCAATGTCTCTTGTAGTAGTATTTTTATAAATAAATTGAAACAAAATATTAAGAAAATACATGCAGAGTAATATTGAATTTAAAATAAGTTAAGAGTTTTGAAACTTATTAATATAAGGAGTATAACATTTACATTTCTTAATAAACGATCGAGTTTAATTTTCGATTTGAGGATGAATTTGTAATTAAATGTACTGCTTTATTCTTAAATGGGTCGATACAATAACTGAGTTATAAGAAATACTTGTTTTTTTAATGACCGTAGAGGAAGATATTTAAGAGTGTTAGGAAAACATGCTACTTTAGGATTGGCTGTAAGAATTTTATTCAACTAGTTAAAAATGGTATATTTTGATTTGAATCGAGAATAAAATGTTCAATCGATCTATTTCAAGTTATCTTTGAGTTGACAAAAAGAAAGGATGAAGTTGCAATCGTATAGAACACTAAATAATATTCTAATTTTCTCCAAAAGCATGGAAAAATTGGAACGATATTTATGGGTTGTGTACTTTGGATTGTAGAGTTGGGGAAGCAGAAAAGTGGGGAGGCAGAAAGAAAAACACGTTTTGTGTTATGAAATGGATGGACATAACATAACCTGAATTGTTGGATATGTCAATATATAGTTTGCTTACCTGTGGCAATTGACGTTGAATTAGAGGGAAAAATGAGAAGTGTGTTGGTGAATTTCAAACTTCACATTTGGAATATCTCAATCGACATGCAAGGTAGCTTTGACTAGGATTGATACAAATGAAGAAGAAGAAGATATGGCTTAGCTTCCTCCCTCTAATAAATGTGATCCACGTCAACTTAAAAGATAAATCAGTATCTGAGGCTGTGATTCAACAATCATCATTAATTGTTTCTTTCAGATTGTCATCCTCACGTTTGGCCATCAAGTTTTGTCTCACATTAAATATAAATATGCTTCAAATTAAAAATAATGTTTTCTTTTTTGAAAATTAAAAAGATAAACTTTTAACTTTCAAATTGCTTATCTTAAGCAAATGTATGTGTGTAGCAAGTGACGGTTTCAACTTCATACAAGATTGAAGTACTAATTACATTTTTTTCTTATATATAAGAGCCTTTCCATTTTTTTACTTGTTTTTTTTATAACACTTTTTTTTTAAAATTATCAGTTACATTAATGATATTTTCTTTAAAATATTCTTATTTAATTAACAATTTATATATATAAAAAAAATAAATGTTTAAAATTAATTGGATAAAAATTCTTTTTTAATATGATTAGATAAGATAAATAGACACATACTTCTCTTTTTTTAAGCATTAATTAATTGGATAAAAATTCCAACACATCGTTTGAAAATACAGAAAGAAGAAAAGAAAGGAAGGGATGAAATGAAATGAAAAAAATTTCTTTCACTGTTTCACATCTTGCAGGGAAGGACCCAAAAATGTAGGCGAGTCCAAATTTTAGAATCACCTCATTTTGGACAGAAAGGTTAAAGAAGTTTAATTTTGTCTGATCAAAATACTTTTTATAATGTTTACCCACTTTCTTTCATATTATATATGTATATATAGAGAAATATTCATTTATTTTATGAGTAAGTTTATTTATATTTATTTTGTTTAATGACTCATATTTTACATTAAATTTTAATAATTCAACTATTAATTTAAAAAAATTTATTATTTATATCAAGTCTGTAAATTTAAAAAAAATTAAAAATTATTTGATACTTCATTTCATTAATTCATATTAACATATAAAATGTTTTTTTTATTGTTATTTGTTAATTTGAATTAATGAAACAAAAGATCAAATGATTTCATTTTTAAATTTGCAAACATGATTTATGTATTAAAAATTTTAAATTCAACGATTGGATCATTGAAATTTAGTATAGAATATGGGTTATTGAATGAAACAAGTCTAGATAGACTTACTCATAAGGTAAACGAATCCCTACTCATATATACATATATA